CCCACATACAGCAACTAGAAGGATGTGCAGCTATGACATACAACTATCTACCGGGGCTTTGGGGGGAAAATAAATAAATAAATAAATAAATAAAATCTTTAAAAAAAAAAAAAGAATCGCAGACAAAGGAGAGATTAAAAGAAACATAAGCAATTATCTCATGAAACTGGCAAAAAAAAATCTGAAACCTACAACAAATGGATGATTTCTAAGCAAATGATAAATTACCAACACTGACTCAAGAAGAAGCAAACTTAGGCCAATTATTGCAGAAGAGATTGGAATAGTGATAAAAGAGCTACTACTACAAAAAGAACCAGGACCAGATGGGTTCAGAGCTGAGTTTTATTTAGCTATCCAATGTCACTTTATCTACAGAACGCCCTAGGAAAAGACTGCAAATTCCTCAATACACTGAATAAAGCCAGTGTAACCTTAACATCAAACGTTATCAAGAAGTGTAAACAATAACAGTATGGGCCAATCTTACTTATGAAAATAGACGTCAATATTCTAAATAAACGACTGAATTCAAATTTTCAAAAGAACAATATGCTATTACCAATTCAAAGGAGGTTTATTCTATTCAGCGGTAGCTCAAAAAAATGTTTTTTAAATCTAAAATTTATCAACATAATCCATTACACATCAAGAAATTAAAGGTGAAAAACACACAAATGATCTTATCAACAGAAGGATGCCAAAAAGGCACTGGATAAAATTTGACAATCATTCCTACTAAACACTCTAGTAGAATGAAGCTACATAAACATCCTAAATAACAAAATATTAAATCTATTTCAATGAAAATCAGAAACTAGACAGAGATATTTAAGATCATTATTACTTAACATTGTACCAGAGATTCTAAAACAGTGGTTCTCAACTGAGGAGAATTTGGAAATTTTAAGGTGGCATTTTTGAATGTTTAATGGAGATTGGAGGGGGAGGGCTCTAACTGGCATTTAGTGGTTATTGGTCAGAAATGCTAACAAAAATCACAAACTACCCAGCTGAAAAGTGGGCAAATATAATGAAAAGTAATTCATATAAAAATAAAGATAAGTGACCAATAAGCTATGAAAAGATACTCTCACCATTAACGGTTAGGGAAATACAAATTAAAATAACAGTGATGGGGGCTGGCCCAGTGGGGTAGTGGTTAAGTTCGCACACTTGCTTCGGTGGCCCGGGGTTCGCAGGTTTGGATCCCGGGCACTGCTATGCACTGCTTATCAAGCCATGCTGTGGCAGGCGTCCCACATAAAAAGTAGAAGAAGATGGGCATGGATGTGAGCCTAGTGCCAATCTTCTTCAGCAAAAAGAGGAGGACTGGCAACAGATGTTAGCTCAGGGCTAATCTTCCTCACCCAAAAAATAAATAAATAAAAATAAAATAACAGTAAGGTATCATTTAACTCCCATTTGATTAGCAACAACTATATATAAAAAAATAACCGTGCTTGTGAGGAGGGAGGAAAAAAGGGTATTTTAATATGTTGCAAGTTGAAGTGCAGAGTTATAGCCTTTGGGAAAGCAATCTAGCCAAATCTAGAAAAATTTAAAATACATATATTTTGATCCAGCAATACCAACCTTGAGACTCAACAAGACAAAAGCACCAGTATGTAAAAGCATATTCACAAGGATATGTATTTATAGTAATACTGCTCACAGTAGCAAAAAACTGAAAATACATTGCAAATCAATAAAGGGATAGACGTATATGGTACATGAAAGGAGAGTGGAAGGGTTAGGAAAAAAGGGGTGCAAAGTATGAAAGGATCATATTTAAATAACATTATAAAATTATTTGTATGTATAAAATGATTTACAATGTTTTAAGGTCAACCAAAAA